GAGCAGGGCGGCGGCTGTGCGGGCCCGAGCCTGCCAGCGCTCGCGCCAGCGGAAAAGGGGCCCGGGTCTGGCCGTGTGGGCGGGATGCCTCTCTTCGGCACGGGAGTCAAGTCGGGCCTGTCCCTCTACAGGAGGAATCTTCCAACATATTTTAAAACATAGTCTGGGGACGATTTTGCTACCATGTTCTCAGTCATAGCAATAGTATGTTGGGGTGCTTGTTTGCGTATGTTTGATTTTTCGTCCAAAATCCCCGTGTAGGAGGACAGGCCCGACTTAACGCAGGAGGCACACGACGGGCCGTCGATGGGCCTCCTCGCAGGGCCAGCGCTGGGCTGTCCCGGAGGAGTCTGGGCCCGGGACGGTCTCGAGCGGATTTTGGGGCGTCCACGACCCCCTTGTCGGCCCCAGGCCTGGGACTCTGGAGCCGTCTGGGGGCTGTCGGGGGCAGCTCTTGGAATCTCCCTGCACCTGCCGGAGAGGGACGAGGGTCCTCAGGGGGGCCATCTGGACGCGGGAGTGGTCGGAGGCATATTTGCGATCTGCGCGCAATGCCTTGTTCAACCGGCTTGCGCCATTCCGCCGACCCCCCCAAGGCGCGGGTGCGTGGAACGGTTGTGGAAGTGACACTGTGGGTCAGGAGCTTCCCGGATGAATCGGAGGGTCTCTTGGGATGCCTCTCTGTGGCCTCTTGAAGCGCTCTTGGGGGCATGTGGGAGGTTGTTTGGGGCCTCGTGGGGGCTTCTTGGAGGCGTCTGCTTAGATATTTGAGGGCTCCCCTGTGAGATGATTCGGAGGCTGTTAGGGCTTCAGGAGGGATGCAGCCAGTTGATTTCGGCCAATCCGGTCACCTTGCTTGGGGCGTGGACAACATGCGTTCTCAGGGCATCTTGGAGGCCTCTTCGGAGCTTATTCGGGGCCTCTTGGAAGTCTCGTGGCGGCCTGCTGGCGTCCTCGGGGGGCCTCTGGCGCCTCTCGGGGGCCTGTCGACGGTCTATGGAGTCGTCTTTGGGCGGAGGGCTCCACACAAGCTCGAGTTTTCCTGTTTGGGCCTATATTTGGGCCGTCGTTGGGGCCTCTCGTCCGAGGCGTGAATTTACCCATATCCACCGCCTGGAGGGTAAGTTTTCGGAGCCTCGGCAGGCGGTGAATGTGGACATATTCGGGCCCCCCAGGGCCGAAATATATCCATATCCACCGCCCGCTGGGGCACCAGGACGTCGGTTCCCAGGTGGCGGATATGGATAAACCCCCGCCTCGCATCTCGGGCCTCTTTGGGGGGCTCTTTGGGGGTCCGCGCTGGGGCGATCTTGGGGCGCTCTTGGGCACTCCTGAAGGTGGAACAGCAAGAACTGCAGCCTCCCACGGAAAAATCCAGAGCCCGTCGGGTCTGGCCTCTGAGGCTGTTGGGGCATCCGAGATGTTTGCTCCCCGAGGCCCCCGGTGGGCTCCGGCGCGGATCTCTCTTGGGGCATGTTCGAGGCTTACGCCCGCAGCCACGGAGCGCCCAGATTTCCGAGGCCGCAGGCGATCTGAGAGCGTTTCGAATGACCAACACCGAGGAGTCAGTCTCAATGGGGCCCGAGGACACTGCGCTCAGCGTCTGCGGCGCAGTGCTGGATCTGCAGAGGCGGTCCCACGTGGCAGGAGGCCTGCCAGGGCCTGCGCAGGTCATGTCGGTTGCGCGTGGCTGCTCGAGCGGGGTCGAGCAGGCGCAGGATCAGCTACTCTGAGCATGTACGTTAGAGTGCGGCAGTTCCTACCAGGTTCAATTCAGCAGCGGCGATTTACGTCCGTGGTCCAAAAACTGCCGAGTCTGGAGCAATCCTGCTTAATCTGGCTCGCTCCCTTTTCATCCCCAGACATGCGACGTCTTGATTTTGTTCAATGCGCGGTTCCCAGAAGTCCCGACCCTTTCCCCGGGACCGGTCATTCATCCCTGAGTCGTTTTTTGACGGTCCCAGGGCCAGGCGAGGGCCTCCAGCGAAATTCAGAAACACCTAAATCCTGAGTTGTTCCCGACGCGACCATCTCTGCGTCTTGCTTACTCCTGAGCTTATTCTGGTTTCCAGCCTCGAACGTATCTCTATCCCTGAGATTGACACGCCAAAAGGCGATGACAATCTTAGGGATTCGCCCTCAAAAAATAGAGGGGTCCCTGAGATTGGCATCGTGACGAGGAGGTGCCCAGCATAGGGATAGGGATATGTTCCAGGCTGGTAATCTGGGCTAACCCGTCGCAGTGGCTCCATAGTGCTCGGGACTGGCAGCCCTCCAGCGTTCCCACGAGGGCCTCCCAGAAGTTGCCTCCCCAACGTGCGGGTGAGCGGGTCGTCGCGGGGAGGCGCGGCGGGGAGCTCCCCAGGTTCGAAGGACCACGACGCGCCTGACCAGCTCGTCGTCGCGCTCCACCTCCGCGAGCGACTACGTGGAGGAGCCGCCGGCCGAGATGCCCCTCGGCGGTTTGCCCTCTCCTCGCGGCGCTGCCCCGCCGAGGCTCTCCAGGCGTGTTCCAGCGTGCTCTTCTTGTGCACAAGCATCGGGGGAACGCAAGACCCGAGCAAGCCGGAACTCGGGTTTGCCGACGTTTTTTTGACGAGCGCGTCCTGGATTTTGACGGTCCAGTTTTCGTGGGATGTCTGCAGCGGGGGTTCGCGTCAAATTTCAGATTGGGCCTCGTCATTTTTATAATGGCCCCGTCGGGTCAACCCGAGTCCCCCGTACCCGAGTCTTACGTCTCCCCGAAAGCAGCGCTTTGGATCGAGATGGCGCCGGCTCACACCCGACGCTGCACAGGAGGAGGAGGACGAGGAGGAGGAGGAGGAGGAGGAGGAGGAGGAGGAGGAGGGGAGGAGGAGGAGGAGGAGAGGAGGGAGGAGGAGGAGGAGGAGAGGAGGAGGAGGAGGAGGAGGAGGAGGAGGAAGAGCCCTCGCGACACGTGCGCCACGAGCAGGTCGCTCGTGGCACGAGAGGGGCCCGCCGCCGCAGTGCCCGGCTCGTGCTGGTGCCCGGCTCGCAGAGGGAGCCCTGGAGCTGTGGATCTCCGCCTCGTCCTCCTCCTCCTCCTCCTCCTCCTCCTCTCCTCCTCCTCCTCCTCCATCTCCTCCTCCTCCTCCTCCTCCTCCTCCGTCCTCCTCTCCTCCTCCTCCTCCTCCTCCTCCTCCTCCCCCTCCTCCTTCTCCTCTCCTCCTCCTCCTCTCTCCTCCTCTTCACTCCTCCTTCCTCCTCCGCCTCCTCCTCCTCCTCCTCCTCCTTCCTCTTCTTCCTCGTTTTCTCGTTCTCCTCCTCCTCCTCCCCTCCTCCTCCTCCTCCTCCTCCTCCTCCTCCTCCCCCTCCTCCTCCTCCTCCTCCTCCTCCTCCTCCTCCTCCTCCCTCCTCCTCCTCCTCTTCCTCCTCCCCTCCTCCTCCTCCTCCTCCTCCTCCTCCTCCTCCTCTCCTCGGCAGTACAGAGGCAGCTTTGTCAGCTCAGTCCGGCCAAGCTGTCCCCGGACTCAAATTCAGCACCATTGATCACCACCCACCAACCCACCCTAACCCAACCCGAGGGTCCCGATTTGCCCTCCATTTCCAGTGGGGTGGGGTCGTGGAACATTGAAAAATCACATGTGGAACCCGTACCCCCCCCCAACGCGAAATTCGTGTCTTCGGGTTGGGTTGGGGTGGTCTGGTAGGTAGTCAAGTGACCGTGCCCGCAGAGACCTTCCCAGAGTTGCCACCTGCCGGTGGTGCTTCTAGACGTTCCCCGATTCGTGTGTGTGTGTGTGTGTGCGTGTGTGTGTGTGTGTGTGAGTGTGTGTGTGTGTGTGTGTGTGTGTGTGTGTGTGTGTGTGTGTGTGTGTGTGTGTGTGTGTGTGTGTGTGTGTGTGTGTGTGTGTGTGTGCGTTTTTGGGCTCTCGAGCTACAGACGTGCTCGGCAGTCGGAGCCTCTCGTTCAGGAGGGTTTCGGGGCTCGAGGGACGGGGCTCAATGCAAACGGGGGTCAGTCAGAGCGCCAGGTCTTGCATTAAGCCGGGCGTGTCCCTCTACAGGGGGAAAATTCAAAAATAGTCAACAAAGTAGTCAGGGGACGATGTTTGGAGTATGCTTTTTATATAATAACTGCTGATTATGTTTGATCTGTTTTGCCTGTAGGGGGACAGGCTCGACCTAACTCAAGGGGCGGGGGTCGATGTCAACGTGGTCAGCCAGAGCGCCAGGTCTTGCAGGATCCTGCAGGGCCAGGGCTGCACTGACCTGGGCTAGGGCGCATGATTCTGCAGGATGCTGCAGGATCTTTCAAACCCCTGACCGACCCGGGGTTGGACTGGCCAGGGTCAGTAGATCCCCGAGGGCTCCTCCTGAGCGCCAGCATCGGCCCCAGCGACCCTCACATGCACGCGACGAAGCCAGGCGTCGCCGCGTCAGTGGCACACCCGCAGCACATCGGGACGAGGGGGCCGAGCGGTCATAGACCTCAGACCGTCCCTTGGTGCGTGCCTGAAGTATACGTATGCGTTCGCCCCTCGTCCCCGCAGCCACATCCTTGGGTTCGTCAGGAGCTCATGCGCGACGCCGAGGGCTCTTGGTTCACGAGGAACAGCGTTATCCCGCAGAAGTACGACGATCACGAGTACCCCGAGGGCTCTCTCGGGGCGCAGGCCACAAAGGTGGCCGCTCCTCCTGCGATTGCGTGGGGGAGGAAGAGGAGGAGGAGCAGGAGGAGGAGCAGGAGGAGGAGGAGGAGGAGGAGGAGGAGGAGGAGGGGGAGGAGGAGGAGAAGGCGGAAAGAGGAGGGGAGGAGGAGGAGAGGAGGAGCAGCAGGAGCGGAGGAGGAGGAGGAGGAGGAGGAGGAGGCGGAGGAGGAGGAGGAGGTGGAGGAGGAGGAGGTGGTGGAGGAAGAGGAGGCGGAGGAGGAGGGGCGGAGGAGGAGGAGGAGGAGGAGGAGGCGGAAGAGGAGGAGGGGGAGGAGGGGAGGAGGAGAGGAGGAGGAGAGAGGAGGCGGTGGAGGTGAGGAGGAGGCGGAGGACGGAGGAGGGCGAGGAGGAGGCAGGCGGAGGAGGAGAGGAGGAGGAGGAGGGGGGGAGGAGGTGGAGAGACGGAGGCGAGGAGGAGGAGGAGAGAGGAGGGGCGGAGGCGGAGGCGGAGAGGGAGGGATGAGGAGCGAGGAGGAGATGGAGGAAGGAGGAGCGGGATCCGCGGGCGCCGCGGCAAGGGGGGGGGGGCCACGCCTCGCTGGGCGCCGGCCGGCGGGCGCTGCAAACCGTCGCGTCGTCGGGGCATGCGGCCCACCCAGCAGACGAGGGCAGTTCCTCCTCCTCGTCCTCCTCCTCCTCGTCCTCCTCCTCCTCCTTCTCCTCCTCCTCGTCCTCCTCGTCCTCCTCTTCGTCTTCCTCCTCCTCCTCCTCCTCCTCCTCCTCCTCCTCCACCGCCTGCCCCCCCTTCAACTTGTGGTGGTGGTGGTGAGGACAGGCCCCGCACGAGGCAGCACCCCACGCGCGCGGGCGCGCGGGCCCGTGCCAGGCCCGGGCCCGCCCCGCTTGGCAAGTCTGGGCCAGGGGCGGGAGGCGGCCGTCCGTTGTTTGTGTGCGGCGGCGCCCCCTGCCAGGCGGCAGGTTCTGTCGCAGGGGTCGACCTGGGCGGTGCTCTGGCGATGTCGTGGGCGGCGTTTGGCTTCGGCCTCGTGCTGCAGCAGAGGCGGATCGGAGACGGAACGATGGAACATGAAAACAACACGAAGACGAAAAACTGTCTTGGTCGAGCCTTATTCTGTCACTCGACAGGCTCCCCCGAAGTCTCGGACGAAATCACACAATGGGCTCACTCGTCTAATTAGGGGTGCAGCCCCCTCGCGGCAGACTGATCCCCGGCAGCTGCGAGGACTCGGCGTGGAGCAGGATGCGATACGGTCCGGAATTTTGGCTCAGCGTGTCGTGCTGCCGGCTCGGGCCCACCACGCCTCGAAGCAACACGCTATCCACGGCCCAGTTCCCAGGCATCAGCGTCCCGAGCCTTTCCCAGCCTTCCACGGTCCAAGATGGGCTCCAGCAGGCCCCAGTACAGCCCCAAGAGGCCCCCAAGAGGGCCCCGAGGCGCCCCGAGAGGCCCCCGGCGTGGCTCCCAGACGGCTCCAACGTGGCCCCAAGACCGCACCTCCAGCAGGCACGCGGGGGGCTCCGAGACGGCTCGAGGTGCCTCGGGAGCTCCTGAAGAGTGCCACCGAGGAGCCAGCGTCCTCGCGGCTGCGAGGCCCTGCCCGTGCGGCCCGGAGAGGGCTAGGCGGCCTCTCGCCTCCGTTGGCGCCCTGGCTTGGCCTTCGATTCGGATTCGTCCCCAGCAGGAGTGCCGAGCAGTTGCCCTGGCTTGGCATCGCTCGGGCGTGTGCATTTTCCCTTCGGCGAGGACCATCGAGTACTCCAGATTCCGCAATAAAGGGAGGGGGGTCTCATTTCGGGGGGCGTCTCTTCCAAGCTATCTTGGAGGGCCTGGGGGGGTCTGGGGACGATGTTTTGGAGGGTTCTCCCACGGGGGGGGGTCTGAAATGGCTTGTCTTGGAGGGTCCAGACCCCCTCCCTTTTATTACGAAATCTGGAGTAGCATCCTTGGTCATCTGGCGAAAAGGCCACGCACGAAACCGAACGAAAAAGCACAGGGCACGGACGTCCGAGCGATGGCCGGCCGGGGTGGAGGGCGGAGGGGTGGGATCTGACATGCCGTTTCGATGGATTCTCGGAGCTTGCATCTGCCCAAGGTCAGTGACACAGAGCGGATGGACTGTCGAGGTGCAGGGCCCATAATTAGGGAAACAAAATGTCACGTGAACATAAAAACTCGGAGGTCCGCGCGGATTTCTCGGATCGGCGCTGGACCCCCCTCCCTGGCGCGCGGAGTGCGCCAGGGGCGGCGCCGGAGGCGCCGCCGGGGGGCCCCAGCGCCGATCCGAGAAATCCTCGCGGACCTCCGAGTTTTGATGTTTATGCCACTTTTCCTTCCCCTAATCATGGACCTCACCCCGAGCCCTCCGCCCTGAGAGCATGCTCCGGAGCCGTGGCCTTCGCGGCCAGGCCCGCCCCGCGGCCCGTGCCGTCGGTGCCCTGCGCTGCGCGCGGCGCGGGGGGGCCGGGGCCGGCCGCGCGCCTCTGCGCCGTGCCGCTCCGCCTCGGGGCCGCGGGCGGATGCAGAGAAGGTGCAGGAGGCGTCGGAGCAGCCTCCAGTGCTCCCGGGCACCCGGGCATGTGCTCGTGGTGGCGGGCAGAGGGGTGAGGTCTGAAGTTCCGGAGGGGGAGAAACACACGGACACAATGAATCGTCCATTCCCCCAAGAATGTGGGAAAATATGGGAAGTGGGGGGGAAGGCAAAACCCTCAAAAAATATATAGGAGCATATGAGGGATCCTGTTATTTGTGTGTATTTATTTGTGTGTCCCAAGGCCCCTCCAGAAGTGCCGTTTCGATGGGTGTGTCGAGGCTTGCGTCTGCAAAAGGCGGATCACAGGACGGATGGGTCGGCGAGGTGCAAAAAGCCCATGATGGTTTTCACCCTGCCACCCTAAGAAAATGCTCAGCACGCGTCGCCAGGATCCCGGAATTTGAGTGGCCGCAGGTCCCACCACCAGCCCCGAGAGAGCTCCAGAAGCGCCCCGTCATGGCCCTCTGGCAGCTCGCGATACGACTTCTTTGGGGGCGGGTAGACCCTACGCGAGCGAAGCGCCCGTGTGGTTCTGGTGTATACAGGTGGCACGTGCGTGCCCAGGCTCATTCAACAAGAACTGCAGCACTACAGCATCGTATAAGATGGACAATGGGAATATGACATCGAATCCGAAAAGGAGGAGAAAGGGGTTGAATGCCACATCTTGCGATGTGTGTGTGTGTGTGTGTGTGGTGAAGGAGTGGGTTCCACACCTTGCGGTAGCAAGTGAAAAGCAGTTCCGAAGCCAATGTTTGGTGGAAGTCTCGAGCGAAACTGTCGTTGTGAAGAATACGAGGACAACTTTGAACACGTCGGGCTTCAATGTTTGGGGAATGTCTCAAGCGAAGTGGCGCATGTTCTAAGAACGACGTCCAACATCATTGAAATATGTCATTGTGGTGTTCAATGTTTTACGTCAAAATGTTAAGAACCCAGTGTGTGGTTGGACCGTGACATCGCGATCTGCTTGTGTGGTGCTTGTGACTTTTGCGCATTATGACCATACCCCGAGCGAAACGGCCAGAAGAAACGCCACGGCTTCAGTCAATCGCTTCTGAACTGTACTCCCTCGGATGGGTGTGTAGGATGATCTACGGTTATGTAGCAAACACATCGCGCAGCTTGGCTACATTTACTGTGACATGCTAAACACATCTGAGTGTCTGCGTGGTCGCATCCAGCCATAATGACCTTGATAGCTCACAGCTCCAGTGGACGGTGACCAGATCGTTTGGACAATCCCAGGAGGCCGATCGATGGCCAGCAACATTCATACCATTCGCGAGGTATCCTTCAACGCTTCGGCCCTCGCAGGGAGCGTGACTACAATAATTCACGCGCAACTGCCATGCTTCATGCACATCAGCCAGAACAGACACTGCGTGCTGACTGACGGCAGCCGCCGCCTCGGCATCTAAATGTAGGCAAAAGCAGAATCACAGTAACAGGAGGAGGAGGAGGAGGAGGAGGAGGAGGAGGATGCGAGACCGCTACCCCAAAAGGCGGGATGCTTGTAATACTTCTCCCCCGTTCGTCGAGACAGGCCCCCTGATTCGCCCCCAGATACGGGCCCGAGCCGTAACCGCTGCTGTGTTGCCCCCTTTCGAAACGCGGTCCTCCTCCGGCGTGGGCCCAGGCGCGCGCCACCAGCCAGCCTGAGGTGACCGCGGCATGGCTTCCTGGCAGTCGCCGTTGCCTCCTTCGCCCCCGCGGCCTGGCAGCACTCTGCACCCGCTGCAGCCACCGCCTCCTCGGAGTCAGCGGAGGAACAGGTACCTATACGGCTACCTTTTCCTGGTTTCCCCCTGTTTGGGCCTCCTGGGCGGCCCTCGTCGCCACCGCTGGATTCGCTTCGAAATCAGGGTCTGAACGCACCCTGGGAGAGGTCCAGGGAGTAGCGGTATCCGTACCTCTTGCAAGCTGCCCCACGGAGGCCTGCGTCCGCTTCGCCTTCTCCAGTCCTTTTGGGAGGTGTCCTTCGGCCGTCCTGCTGTTCTTCTTCTGCCGCCTCTGCCGCTTGCACCTGTGCAGGCGTTGTCCACGCCACCTTCTGCTGGCTTCCTCCGTGGCCGTTCTTCCCGCCCCTGATCGGTTCGACTTTCAAGTGCCGTCTCGGTGCTCTACGACAGCGGTGCGTCCGTCTGGTCTACATACTCCACGTGATGCGGTTCATGAAGAGCCGCGGAGGCCCAACCGCGGGTCGAAGTTCTACGCGCCCGTGCATCGGATCAGGAAGGAGGTTCGCGAAGTGGAGGATCGAGCCCATGCACCTGTTCAAATTGCTGTGCATAGCGAGCGCCAGCACCCATAGATCTCCCAGCAGATTTCGTCCCCCGTCGCTCTGTCTGCAGAATTGCTCGCGCCTCTCATCGGTCCCCCATCAGGTCTCGTGCTGGGTTGTTCCCCTCGCCTGTCCTTCGGGGCCGCCACCTTCGCGCTCCCGCTCGCCTTGCCGTCCTTCAGGCGACGTGGTATTAGCAATCTGGGCACGCGAATCGTCTCCTTCTCTCCTGGGGTGTTCGCCACGTTGCCCTGGCAAGGCCAACGGAGACAGTCGTTCGTCCGCCCATGCACCAGGGCCCGCTCGCGGCTCGTTAGGGCAATACTGCCACTGGCTACAGCCACTGTGACCATGTTTTGGCGCACCGCCCTCTTAGGAAAGGAAAATTCAACGCTTTCGCGGCCGCTCGAGTGGCAGGTCCGGAACTCGTAGAGGCCGTTCAATACGGCGCCTTGCCGCCGGAGGGACGCCCCGCTTTGCCTGCTCGCGCGGGGTGTTCTTCTGCTGCCCGTTCTCAGCTTCTTCCGAAACGGCCAGAGTGCCCAGGCGAGCCGGGGACGATGTCTCATCCTTCCGCCCAGAAGCGTGCAGGCATTGTCGGAAGCAAGCTTGGCTTGTGATGCGCACCAGTCGCGGCGCAGTTCACCGCGTCAGTTGTATGCCAATCTCGTCCCTAGCCTGCGCTCTTTGTGGCAAAGGCACCCACGACGGCAGATGGTGCGGAGACCGTTTTCGCAAGGAGGGCAGGTGCCTCGTGCGCGGGGCTTGCTGGATGAATTGCGCCCTGCCCCAGGACTTGGACCCTTGGATCGCGTGACTTGCCCGCAGATCTGCTGCTTACCCGGACGACGTCTTTCCAGAAATTCGGGGAGGTGAAGCTTCTTAGGTTGCGTTATATCTCTCGGCAGGTCTGAGTTTGTGTGCTATAGCAGCGACTTGTGCGCCTGGCGGTGTCCCCAAAAGGGCCCCCCTTCGGCCGCGCACCGAAGTCGGCGGCGAGCGAGGGGGGAAGTGAGAAGAAGAAGGCCTTCTCAGAAGGCGGCTCGAATTCTCAGAAGCCCTCAGGCCTTCTGTGGTGTTTTCTGTGTCTTCGGGGAAGGCTCATATAATACTTCTCAGAAGGCCAGTGGACTTCCGAGCCTTCTGCGCAGGCTTGCTCCTCCTCTCGAAGAAGAAACGGCATAAACACTCACTTTTGTCGATCCGCGCGGATTTCTTGGATCCGCGCTCGGCCCTCTGGCGGCGCCTCTTGCGCCGCTTCTGGCGCGCTCCGCGCGCCAAGGAGGGGAGTCCAGCGCAGATCCAAGAAATCCGCGCGGAGCGCCAAACGTTTCTGTTTATGGCATGTCTGTTCTTTTCCCTCGCCCGCCGCCGAAAAGGCCACGCTTGCCCATGGCCGCTCCTTGTGGGGAGCCGACTCGTTGGCGACGGCATGCCTTCGGCCGGAAGGGCCGGCCACGTCCTCCGCGTGTGGCCCCCCGTGGGGCGCGGGCCGCCAAGGGCGGAGCGCGAGACGGTTAAAGTGGGCTTCGCGCTGGACCTGAGAGGAGGAGGAGGAGGAGGAGGAGGAGGGGGAGGGGGGAGGGGGAGGAGGAGAGGAGGAGGAGGAGGAGGAGGAGGAGGAGGAGTGGCCCCGGACCCGAGCTCCGGGCGCCGCAGAGTCAGTCTGCTCGGGAGAGCGGGCGGCTTCGCTCCGCTCCGAGCGAGAGCCCCGGGGCCATCGCCGGTGGATCCCGCTCGCGAGATGCCGCAGAAAAGGTGGGGTCTCTTGTTTCTTGGCGGCGCGCACGAGGGGGTAGGGGGAGGGGGGAGGGCTTCTTAGAAAGCACCCCTGCTTCTCAGAATGCGCGGGCCTTGTCTGTAAACGTACGGCCCGCTGCTTCTGAGAGGCAGCCTCCTTCTGAGAAGCCTTCCCCCCTCCCCCTACCCCCGCGTGCACGCCGCCAAGTTTTGGTGGTGATTCTCGCGAGGTTGAATTTTTCCTCGCCGCGCCGTCAGACCTCAAGGGGTCTGGGAAAGGAGAGAGGGCGAGGGGCCGTGGCCCGGCGGTCCGCGGCGTGGAGCGGTTGCCGTGCGGGCTCGGCGTCCCGAGGCTGGCCCGGTGGGCTGTCCGGGTGGGCTGTCCCGTGGTGCTCTCGTTGTTTGTCCCGTGGTGGTTCCACAAGTTGTCCCGCGGGTTACAGTGGGGGCGCGCATCAAGAAATCAGTTACTTTTCGTCAGGGTATCCTGGGTTTCTTTGCTCCGCGCGCTGCGCGTTGACTTCCCGCGGCCGTTGGAGGAGCTGCTGCGTTCAGGGTGCTCCAGGTTTCCCCTCAGGTGCACTTCGCGCACGGGTTCTCAGGGTTGGGTTTCTTGCGAGGGTTTCTTGCGGCCGCGCCCGCACTGTACCTCATGGTTGTTCTTCGTCTTTTCCGTGGGCGCTTCTTAGGGCTCAGACGACTGACGGAGGACCATGCCGCATGGTGTGCATCTACGTCAAGATGAGATGGTTGGTATGTTTGCTCGTTGCCTATAAAATTGTGCTCCGTGCAGCTCTACACGTATCAGTACATACATGCATGTGTAGCCATAGGTACATATAGTTATCTTTGGCCGCGCCCGTGTGCGATTCGCTTGTCCTGGCGCTGATGGTGATGATGACGGCGACGACGATGATGACGATGTTGGTGATGATGACAATGAAGACGCCGAAGGCGATGATGCTGATGATGACGATGATGATGATGATGCTGATGGTGATGATGATGACGATGATAATGATGATGATCATGGTAATGATGATGATGATCATGCTGAAGACGCCGAAGATGGTGCTGATGCTGCTGGTGATGATGATGATGGTCATGGTGATGACGATGCTGGTTGTGATGATGGTGAGGATGACGGCGACGACGATGATGACGGGGATGGTGGTCATGACGATGAAGACGCCGAAGATGATGATGAAGATGAAGATGACGATGATGATGATGCTAATGGTGGATGATGATGATTATGATGCTGATGCTGATTACTGTGATGGTGATGAAGATGATAATGATGGTGAAGATGATGCCGATGCTGATGATGGTGCTGATGATGCTGAGGAGGATCATGATGATGCTCATACTGAGGCTCATGATGTTCATGATGATGATGCTGCTGATGATGACGATGGTAACGATGATGCTGATGCTGATGATGATGATGATGATGATGATGATCATGATGGTGATGATGATGCTGATGATGATGATGGTGGTGGTGATACTGATGATGATGATGATGATGATGAGATGGCGATGCTGGTGCTTATGATGCTGATGATGGTGGTCATGACGATGACGATGATGATGATGATGATGATGATGATGATGCTGATGATGATGATGCTGATGCTGATGCTGATGCTGAAGCTGATGCTGATGATGATGATGCTGATGCTGATGCTGATGCTGATGATGATGATGATGATGATGATGATGGTGATGATGATGATGATGATGATGATGATGCTGATGATGATGATGATGATGATGATGATGATGATGATAATGGTGATGATGGTGCTGGCGATGCCGATGAGACCTGGAGCTGTCGTGAGGTCCGCCGCCTCCATCGCTCCCGGCAGGTGCTGGGCAGCTCCAGCTTCGACACCATCATGGGAGGCCGCGCTCCCTCCCTCGCCGCCCACCAAACTACCCCAGCCCAACGCGAAGGTGATAGCTTTTTTTATTACATTCCTCGTTTTGGCGATCGGCGCGGGCCCTCGCAACCACCCCCCTCCCCCCCCCTTGGAGTGGATCTGGGCTGTTTTTTGGCGCCTGCTTCGAGCGGATGGAGTCCCCCCCCGAGGCCGCACTGCTGCAACCAGACGCATGAAGCAGAGGTCTGGAGCCATACCCCTCCCCTCCCCCCTTTCCGCCCAATGCCAAAACGCCGAATCATTACCCGGGCGACGTACCCACCCCCCGCGCAATGCGGGGCAGGAGAAGCTTGTGAGATTTGACGAGAAGGCGGCGACGTGACATGGACGCATATAATTCTGCGAGCGGCGTTTGGAAGGTTCGCAGGCCCCCAGTCAAGGGAACTCCGACGAGTAACGAAGTGAACCCCTGAGTCACTAAGGAAGACGCAAGGTCCAAAAGGAGACGGTGGGCAAGGGGCTTGAAACGTCGGGGGGCAGCAACAACATGACATGGCCCCCAAGGACGGGGAGTTCCCGCTCAGGTCTGCGCAATGCCTCACTCCGCTGGACCCTCCAGCAGCCCTCGAAAGTGGCGAGCCCAACAGCAGCCCTCGAAAGTGGCGACAGTGTCGCAGATCGCAGCCCCACAGGGACGGGGAGGACCCGCTCAGATCCCCGCGGTGCCTCACTCCGCTGGACCCACCAGCAGCCCTCGAAAGTAGCGACAGTGTCGCAGATCGCAGCCCCCCAGGGACGGGGAGGACCCGCTCAGATCCCCGCGGTGCCTCACTCCGCAGGACCCACTCGAAAATGGCGACACTTTCGCAGATCGCAGCCCCCCAGGGACGAGAAGGTCCCGCTCAGATCCGCACGGTGCCTCATTCCGCTGGACCCACCAGGAGCCTTCGCAAGTGGCGACATTGTCGCAGATCGCAGCCCCAGAGGGACGGGGAGGTCCCGCTCAGATCCGCGCGGTGCCTTACTCCGCTGGACCCACCAGCAGCCCTCGAACGTGGCGACAATTTCGCAGATCGCAGCCCCACAGTGATGGGGAGGAGGTCTCGCTGAGATCCCCGCGGTGCCTCACTCCGCTGGACCCACCAGCAGCCTTCGCAAGTGGCGACACTTTCGCAGATCGCAGCTCCCCAGGGGGCGGGGAGGTCCCGCTCAGATACGCGCGGTGCCTCACGCCGCAGGACCCACCAGCAGCCCTCGAAAATGGCGACACTTTCGCAGATCGCAGCCCCCCAGGGGGCGGGGAGGTCCCGCTCAGATACGCGCGGTGCCTCACGCCGCAGGACCCACCAGGAGCCCTCGAAAGTGGCGACAATTTCGCAGATCGCAGCTCCCCAGGGGGCGGGGAGGTCCCGCTCAGATACGCGCGGTGCCTCACGCCGCAGGACACACCAGCAGCCCTCGAAAGTGGCGACAATTTCACAGATCCCAGCCCCCCAGGGACGGGGAGTTCCCGCTCAGATCCGCGCGGTGCCTCATTCCGCGGGACCCACTAGCAGCCCTCGAACGTGGCGACAGTGTCGCAGATCGCAGCCCCCCAGGGACGACGAGGTCCCGCTCAGATCCCTGCGGTGCCTCAGTCTGCAGGACCCACCAACAGCCCTCGAAAGTAGCGACAGTGTCGCAGATCGCAGCCCCCAAGGGACGGCGAGGTCTCGCTGAGATCCCCGCGGTGCCTCAGTCCGCAGGACCCACCAGCAGCCCTCACAAGTGGCGATAGTGTCGCAGATCGCAGCCCCCCCAGGGACGGTGCCTTAGTCCGCAGGACCCACAAGCAGCCCCCGAAAGTAGCGACAGTGTCGCAGATCGCAGCCCCCAAGGGACGGCGAGGTCTCGCTGAGATACCCGCGGTGCCTCAGTCCGCAGGACCCACCAGCAGCCATCGATGGCCAGGTTCACGCAAGGCACGAGGAGACAAGACGGAAGCGGGAGACGGGAGGCGGGAAGGATGAGAAGAGCGCGACCACCGTGCTCTATTCAACACGAATGCCCAGCCAAGGATGGCTGGAAAAACAACATTCACCAACCCGAAGGCCCCGATTTGCCCTCCCTTTCCATGGGGGAGGGTCGGGGAACGCTGCAGGAACACATACCCCCCTCCTCCCCAACACGAAGTTCGGGTCTTCGGCTCGGGTTGCGGTGGCCTGGTAGGTAGTCACCCACTCCCCCCTCCCATCTCGTGCCGGGGCGGACCCGAGGGGCGGGTGGACTGGACGGGGGGGGGACGACAGCGGTTGCGCGCAGCCCGCTTGCCGACCCCTCCGCGGGGCGCTCGTCGTCGACGCCATGGGCGCCCACGGCGCCGCGAGGCGCCAGGGTGTGGCGGATCTCGCTGTCCCTCGAGGGAAGGAGCCCAAGGAGGTGGAGGAATTGATCGGCATAGAGAGGCATATTGGATTCAAGCAGATCCTCTTGCGCGGCGATCTGAACGTACAGCTACCAGAAGTTCATCCCCACTCTGTGCCTCAGTCATGTGGCGTGGCCTGCAGTATGAGTGCAGATGTGATGGAAAAGGTTGGGTTGTGGACTGGATCATGCTCAACGCACGGCTTGTGCGTAGTGAACACGTGGCTTGACGAATCAGAGTGCCAATGGTGGTTCACGAGGGCTCCCCTGGGCCAGTCCCGTGCGATGGGGACTCGGATTGACTACATGTTGATTTCAATGGGTGCGACGGGCGCCAGCCATGTAGGCCAGCACCGAGTTCTTCAGAGTGACCATTATCCGGTGTACGTCAAGATCAACAGCAAGGGGCCCCTTTAGAAAAGGAGGAGAAATCACAGGCCTTCAATGAAGTGGTGGGCCCCCAAGGACGGGGCAGCCTCAGTCAAGTTTGCTTCCAAGGTGATAGAGGACCTGGGCCATTGTTGTGGCATGTCTGGTGATCTCTGTGGCGAACCGTCCTTGGAGAAAATGTGAATATCATTCGAGGAATGGGCCAAGGAGGTCGACCACACTACATTTCGTAGCGAGAAGCAACGTTTTAACCGAAGGCCGTATGAATTGCACGAGATTGTCGACAGGATCAAAGGCGCGAGGAGCAGTGCGGAGAAGAGAAGGCTTCGCAAACATGAACGAGCCATAAAAGCTACAGCGGACCAGGGCCATGGCCGACAGGCACTTGGAGGCGGGCTTCGACGTCACTACGTAACTACCAAGCGTCCCGCTATCGACCTGGAGTGCGACAGGGCCATGACAACAGATCGGAAGAAGTGGCAAACCGAAGCCATGAGACACTGCATCAGCAAGCACCACGACCCCAATGAGACCACGGCCCACCAGATGCTGAGGATCCACAGATGGCGCCATCGGCAGCAAGATGTGCATTTCGGGGGGGACCCTCCTCCGAATTGGGACCTCGGCACCACCATGCCGGCTCGATCTCGGCTGAAACCAGGGAAGGCGCCAGGCAGGGGAGAGGAGCTCGTCAGCGAGATGTCGGAAGCTTGATCGGTGTCCGCGGTGGTGCTGTTGCACCCGTGCTTCGTGGACCAGCACGTCGTTGGCCGACACGTGGGGGGCATTCTCTCATGGAGGACGTTGGTTTTGGTCATGTTGCCGAAGGTTACTGATGCGAGGATCCTTGCGCAGTTCAGGACGTGCGCATGTTGAGCATTTTCTCTGAATGGTACATGAATGGTCGGCTGCAACTTCTACGCCAGGACATCTCGAGGAAACATTCTCGATCTTGGCGTTCAGGTACGACTGTTGCCCACGAGGCGGAGCACAAAGTGGAACAGTTCTTGCTGTCTTTGACGCGTCTGCTCCAACAGGCGACCGAGAGGTCAGGGGATGTGGAGGTGCATATTTTCATTGACGACGTACGTTCGGCATTTGACAACTTGACCGTCAAGGCGGTGGAGGGGAGCTTCGAGTTTTGGGGTGTGCACCCGCCGGTCGGTGCAGTGGTACTGTGGTAGCTTATGGCGATGGAGGCCTGGCCTATCTTCGACGGACAGTGTTCTGGATCGCCGTTATGTTATGACTGGTCCATCAAGCAGGGAGGGTCTGATGCACCGTTTTTGTGGAACTGCGTCGTGCGAAGAATGTTGAGCCTTCTGGTGCAATCCTGGGTGAATCGAGGTTTCGGCGCCAACTTGGAACATGGTTCGTGCGTCACGCGCGCGATTTGGTCGGACAACTTATACATGCTCGGGAAGAGCATTTCGGAAACGCACGTGATGTCTCAAGAGTGCACCTGTGCCCTGAAAGCAGGCCGCCTGCGTTGGAAGCCTAACAGCTTGGAGTGCATGAGCAGCAACGGGCCAGTCGGCGCACTCGCCTTCTCTATCCTTCAGGACGGCGTCGAGATTGAAGTGCCGGCCGTGGACCATATCGACATGCTGGGTGGAATCATGGGCAGGGATGGGACGACGGACGTGATGGTCGAACATTGTTTTCCGAAAGCGACGGGTGCCTTCTGGAAACGCGCGCGTTCTCCTCGACAGGCGTCTTTCTTCGCGATGCCGCATGAAGGCGTACGCACGCAACGTAAGGCCCGTGACATTTTTCACTGCGGGATGTTGGACATGCACCAAGAGCGCGCTCCTCCGGACAAAGTCGTGGGAACATATTTTTTTCCGAACGATGTTACGTCGAGGGCGGAGGCCAGGTTTGACGTTCTTGGCGCATTAGAGGCGCTGCGCCCGCATTGCCCAGCATGCCTTGCTGAAGATGTCCCCCGGCACGTTACCAACAGCGGTGATGCCGAACCAATGGCGCATGGCGGGGGAGACGCAGCATCACAAGTCGCTCAAACCGACACTCCGACTGTTACCTCGAATGCTGCCATGAAGAAGCACACTCTGGTGGTAGGGGCGTCAAGGCGGTGAACCCTCGAGGCCCAAGCGCGCGGCAGACTGGAGCGCGCCGCGCCCGGCCTGGCCACCCATCGGCTCGATGGGAGGATGTATATGTGAAGCGTGTGGGAGTGGATTGGTGGATGGAGGCTGCCAGACCGACGTGGCCAGGTAAATGCGACGCGTTCAGGAATTCTGTATACCAGGGCTACAACATGAGCGTCCCTGAGAACAGCAGGCGCCCCCCACTGAAGACCGCACCATCGACAAAGCGTCAGAGATCCGCACCCCTGCTGGACATGCCGACTGAGATGGAGAAGGCTCAGAGCAAGCATGCAGGAAGTCCCCAGTGTATTTTCATAGGCGACTCTTCTGGTGTGCAACTGCTTCAATGGCTCATTGAACATTTCGTGTGCGAAGCATATGGGTTTGGAGAACATCTTATGGGGCACGCGCCACAATTGGATCTCTATGGATACGTGCTGTCCGGCGTCTCCGGGACGCAATTCTTGCCTTCATGTTATCCGCGAGCACAATTCCGAGGGGGACATAGCAGCGAATCACCATGAGTATATCTTCCGGCAGCATGGAAGCATCCATGGACGGTCGCGGCTCAAAGAAATATTTCGACGGCAGCCGGTGGCACGATGGACGCGCGTGTGCAGTCGTGGTTTTGCACGGTGCGCACGCGGGGCAGCCAGCGTGCGACTTGATCTTTGAGGTGGCGGTGCCCTTGACAGTGGCGAGCGCCTGCCAGGCAGACATGGGGGCGCTCTTGATTGGAGTTGTTATGATTCAATACCTGCTGAAACCGGACATTCAGTCGGATACTCTCTGCAATGCTGTCCCGTCGTTCTGCGGCGGCGATCTCCACGCGCTGGAGATGGTGGCCAAGGAACTGTTTGCCAGGCGCGGCGGCGTGAGGTTTGGCGGCGAGGCAGAAGGAAAGTGTGTAGCGTAGCAGCTGTAACGCCCAAGCGGCGCGCTCAGCAGGGGTGTGGAGGGAAAGGAATGACGTCGATGCTGAGCTTGGTCAGTGTCCGCGTCGGCCGTCGCCGACTCGCGTGGAGGATCCGCGGACTGACGCGGACCAAGGTCGAATTGGGCCTGAAGGGTGCATTCGGTACGAGCGCGTCCCTTCTGGGATCCAGCCGCTGCGGTTTTACCACACGCCATCATATTAAAGTTCGGAGCTTAGGTGGCAGGTCTGGAGGGCCGCCCTCCAACCCCTCCCACACGCACGCGCTGTCGGTCCCGAGCGCCGTCTGATGACCGCCCCCGTGGCTGCACCGTCCCCTCCCAGGCCAGGACGGGACCCGTCGCCCCAGAGGGAGGGCGTTCACCCTCAAGAGTGTCGTTAGCTTCTGGTACGCACAACCGGTACCGCATTAAGCCAGCGAGACTTTTTTAGCCCTAGGAATGGAGGCGACTTTTTGAACCTACGCTCGTGGGGATGCTTCATGCTCCCAAGGGCCTCACTCGCTCGGCAAGCAACGGGGCACATGTATATATATATACATATACACATGGTACGGAGCAAGGCGTTGCCTGACTCAACCTGCTGTCGTCCAAACGGGGTGAGGGCTCCGAGGCCCCAAATGGCCTCCTTCTCCCTGGATGGCCTGGAACCCTCCTCCTCCTCCTCCTCCTCCTCCTCCTCCTCCTCCTCCTCCTCCTCCTCCTCCTCCTCTTCCTCTTCCTCCTGCTCCTCCTCCTCCTCGTCCTCCTCCTCCTCCTTGTCGTCCTCCTCTTCCTCCTCCTTCTCCTCCTCGCTCTCAAGGAGGTGGGAGTGCGCTGCCGTTCCCCCCCCCGGTTATTCTAGCCACCCTGCCCCTGGCCGCAGTCGTCATCTGCTTCAACGTGACCCTGATGATCCAGGAGGCGAACCTCAGCGCCGAGTGCGACAGGCCATGTGCCAGGGGCAACGGCCAAAACAGGGGGAGGAGGATCGAGAGGATGAATGGGAAAAGGACGAGGAGAAATATCGGGAAGAAGACGAGAAGGACCAGAAGGAAGAAAAGGCATATCGGAAAGGGGACGAGGAGAAAGAGCGGAGAGGACGAGGAGAAGCAGGGCGAGGAGGATCGAGATGTTTGAGCTGCTGTGCACTCGTGGGAGGTGGGGCGGCTTCTTGGCCCCCCCCCCTCCTGCCACCGCGGCTGCTGCTGCACTTTTTCCTCTCCACCCAGGGGCCTGGCATTCCTCGGAGGCGTGCGTGTCTTTTGTCGGCGAGCACGCACAAACCCGAAAAATGCACGAGGAATGGGCGTCCGAGCGATGGTAAACCAGAGGGTCGACTTGTCAAGATGGGCGCGCGCCTGCTGCTGCTCTTGATCCACCCGGAGGCTTCCGGAGGGTGGCCTCCGGCCTCCACAAAAGAACACTTCCCGCAGAAAGGGCCTGCGTTTATCCAGCATAAAGGGGCCTTCCCCTCCTCCTCCTAGTCCTCCTCCTCCTCCTCCTCATCCTTATCCTCCTACTCCTCCTTATCCTCCTCTTCCTCCTCCTCCGCGTCCTCCTCCTTCTTCTCCTCCTCCGCTCCCTCCTCCTCCTCCTCCTCCTCCTCCTCCTCCTCCTCCGTCCCC